TATTTCCTGGACAGGCTACTTTGTACAGACAAAGTTAATAATAATTGTAATAGTCCAGTTATAAACGACATGAATCCAAGATGTGTTGCTGTATTTTAGCGGTAAAAAAATGCATTCGTCATCATAAAAATGTACACAGTGCCTGTAAACCGGAGGAGAACGCTGGCATTTTTCCTCCTGAAAGACTACGGAGGGATAGGGTCTGCAAAATTAGTTTATTTTGGGGATTGACCATTCCACCTCCTGCCCAGTGCTATGCAACTCCTCGCGTCGAAAATAGACCAGCCACGCTTCTGGGATGCTTCTGAGCCGTAACGCGGCACGTCTGGTGGAATAACACCCATTGACAGTAACGCGGCCGTAACGCGGCCGTAACGCGGCCGTAACGCAGCGCAGACGGACTCGGTGGGAATACAGGGGTAAGGGTTGCACAACCCAAAAAAACATTGTGACATCACAAAGTGGCCTTTTTTTTATAAAGATGGATGAGGAAAAAAAGAGGGAGAATATTTTATCTTGAAAATGTCCGAATCTCTTAACACAGAAGGGACACATATTTATGTATGAAAGATATGAAAAAGTGGATTTTGCACAATAGGTGACCTTTAAACCAGGACAGAAAACAGGCATAACATAGCCTTACATTTTGCTTTGTTTTTTGAATGTTACTGCAAACCATTGTTCATGTTCAGTGATGTTCCCTGAATATGTAAATAAAGGTTAGAATACACACGTTTGCACGCAGTTATGGGTGCCCTGCACTCCTTTCAGAACAGTGGATCTTTAAGTTTGAACTGAAAGTGTGCAAAAATGCTGCCTGTGGCTTGTGTCCCCTGCTCTGTTTGACCTGATTTATCTGTCTAACTTCTGGATGGCTAAGCCTTGCAGCTTTCACTATGATCTTGTCTAAATTTACATCTCTCTACATGCCCCTCTAATCATGACTGAGGAGAAGTTCTCATTGCTGCTGATGAAAGAGTAAGAGATCGATCAAATGCAAAACAGTTTCTCTAAAGCCTCCTTTGCATCACACATTGCTCCGTCTTTGTGGTCTACGGATAAAAACACAGCTAAAATGGTCTGAAGGCAGCGCTCCCACGAAAACCAATGATCAGACTTTGCTAAGAAAGTGTGAGAACATTTCTGTTTGTGTTTGTGTGTGTGGGGGGGAGGTAAAAATAAATGCATTTTATGGAATAGAGTGACCAGAGAGAGACGTTTGTCCTCCAACGTCCCAGTCTGGGACGTTGGAGGACAAACGTCTCTCTCTGTATGGGACTCCCAGATACATTAAAGATATGGTGCAAAATATGCCTGTCAGCATGAATCAATGTCAGGTTGAGTATCCACTGCTATACCAACACGAAGCAGTGAGTCTGAACTGGAGAAAGACCTCACTGAGAGCAGTCATGCTTCAGGTTTCATGATGCTCGGCTGACTGACAGCTGGTAGCGGTGTTGCAAAAGAGGCGATGCACTCTTAAAGGCACTAAAAAAGAGAACTGCAAGCTAGCAAAGATGTACGTAAAGATTGCACAATTTATAACCAACAAGTTTTCAAGTTAACAAGGTTTTATTCTCCATGCATTTTGGTCAGAAACACTGAACTTAACCAAAACTTTATTTGCTACCAGGAAATATCCATCTGGTACTTATTACTTTACCCAAAAAGTTGGCTGAAGTGAATTCCCATCCGTCTGTTGAGAGTATAATGATTGCAATGTGCACTGCATTGTGATGGCAATTTGTTGGGCTAGTTTTTACATTATTATGAAATTTCTGCTTAGATATGTGCTTTTGTTTTCACGAATAGGCCTGTCATTTCTTACAATGATCCCCTCTACGTCTTCAACAACTCTGAAACTAAACCAAATACAAATTTAAGGGGATACAAACGACCAGAAAGCTGGTATATTACTGCCAAATTTGACAGTTTGTCCAATTTAGCTTCCCCATTCCCGGATATAAGTACATTTGTTTAAAACCCTGTAAATGATAACATTGCTTTGTTTTGACCTCTATATTAAAAACAACTTGAGATCTAAAGAACAAAACAAATACACAGACTTATTGACTTCTGCATTATATAAAGACTCAACTTCAGAAAGAAGGAATAGGAACACACATTACAGTATGAATACAGTCTTTTTAGTGCTTCATCTCTTTTTCATTAATGCTCTCTGGTTCCTACAGTATAACAGCCTTACAAGAGAAACTCTCCCTGCATCAAATACTATCCTGACCTCCGGGAGCAATAAAGGTTGGTGAGGAAAGTACAGTGTGTGTGTGTGTGTGTGTGTGTGTGTGTGTGTGTGTGTGCGTGCGTGCGTGCGTGCGTGCGTGCGTGCGTGCGTGCATGTGTGTTTTCATTGAGTGTGAACCTTTCTTTGCTTGCCAAGCCAAGAGCAAGTTTCAGAAAAAGAGTATTAAAACCATAATTTAAAACCTTAAATATTCATATACAGGAACTACTTAAGGAAATGTTTTCCATCAACTGATAAATCCTGAATAATATTAAGTGACAGATTAAATGGATATTTTATATGTTTTTTAATGTGTAACGTTGACGGTGCAGAACAACTGTTAAATTGTACAATTATTCCTAATAGTGAATGCAAAAGCTGCAGTAACTTTGTGTAAGGTAAGCGATTTCGAATGGATTAAAATATGTGAAAATTGCAATACATATCAGTTTTCCTCATATTTTTTAACCTGTTAAACCCAAGTCTGTTTTTCAGGTCTCAGGCTCGAAAATGACATTTCCAGAACAAATGACCATAACTACACTTCTAAAAGGGGGGCGCAGAGGCATGACAGGGGGGGCGCGAGAGACCAGGAGGAAAAATGGTTATTAAAAAAAAAAGATTAAAAAAAAAAAAATCATAATTTGAAAAAATTGTTGATTCGAATATAATATGATACAGTATCAGTACTATTACGTATGGGTCTCTGTTTCATTAAAGCTCGGCCCTGTGTCTGTGTGTGTGTGTGTGTGTGTGTGTGTGTGTGTGTGTGTGTGTGTGTGTGTGTGTGTGTGTGTGTGTGTGTGTGTGTGTGTGTGTGTGTGTGTGTGGAACGAGCCATTTTGTGTGCGTGCGCGAGCGAGAGAGAGAGAGCGCAACGGTACCGGAGATCGTTGTTGTTAGCTTCTGATGCTAGCGAGCTACGCTAACGGATATAAGGAGTTTTTTCAACAACAAAGTGGAGGAGAGTCGTCTCCTGTCAGCTAAAGTCACCATTAATGTAAACAATTATTTCCGAGGCACACGTTTATATGATCATTATAGTTATAAAAAAATAAGAGAATAAATGAAAAA